TCTTTCTTTCTTTCTTTCTTTCTTTCTTTCTTTCTTTCTTTCTTTCTCTTTCTCTCTTTCTCTCTCTCTCTCTCTCTCTCTCTCTCTCTTTCTTTCTTTCTTACCTCTATGATGACATACTTTATGTCATTCCTCCTGTGCAATTCCTTGTTTCTAACCCCTAACTTGAATTCTTCACAGATTGTGATATTCCATAACTTGCATCCATACAGCACGGCAACACACTAAATACAATGAATGATGACAATTACTTCTTTTTTTCAGGATACAACAGATGAAGAAGGTTTGACAGGAACACAAGCACCTACCAGATCTCCTGTAAAAGAAGAAAACAACCTTCCAACGTATGGTCCAAGTCAACCTGTACCAACAGTACAGCCTGAAAAAGGTGACAACTTGGTAAGAGAAATCAAATACTTGCTTGGGCTAGAATAATGTTTACCAGAAAAAAAAGAAAAAAGTGTGTGTTTCTTTTCTCTCTGTGTCTATCTCTCTCTGTCTCTCTCTCTCTACATCTACATATGTGTGTGTGCGTGTGAGTGTATACACATATAATATATATAAAGATGTGTGTGTGCATATATTAAATAGAAAGATATGTGTGTGTAAATATGCATATATACACATACACAAATGTGTATATACTGAACAATACCAATTCAGTTTCTTCATGACTCCATTTGGGCTTTTATTGACAAAGATACTGGAGTGGTTTGCCATTTTCTTTTCCAGTTCATTTTACAGATGAGGAAGCTGAAGTAAACACGATGGTTAAGTGACTTGCCCAGGGTCACACAGCTAGTAAGTGGCCAGATTTGAGTACTCTATCCACAACGCCACCTAGCTATGTTGTGTGTGTTTGTGTGTGTGTGTGTGTGTGTGTGTGTGAACAATTCTTAGTCTTCTAAAGTTGATTATCTTCATCTTAGTAAAGAAAATGCAGTCTGCTATATTTTGACAAGTATAGCAATTAATCATTCAATCAAGAAATAAACATTTACTAAATGCCTACTCTTCACCAACCACTGTGCTACATGGTAGGGATACAAAAAGAGGTAAAAGACAGTTCCTGCCCTCAAGGAGCTCACAATCTCATGAGGAAGACAACAAACAAATATGTGCAAACAAGCTATATATGGGATAATTAGGAAATAATTAACAGAAGAGAAGCACTAGAATTAAGAGGATTTGGGAAAGGCTTCCAGTAGAAGAATGGATTTTAGTTGGTACTTAAACGAAGCAGAAAAGCCAAAGGGCAGAAATGAGAAAGGAGAGCATTCCACAAGTGGACCACAGCCAGAGAAAATGTCTGGAGCAGAGAAATGGAGTGTCTTATTCATGGAACAGTGGAGACCAATGTTACTGGATCAAAGAGTATGTCATGGGAAGTAAGGTGTAAGAAGACTGGAAAAGTAGACAGGGGTCAGGTTATGAAGGGCTTTGAACACCAAGCAGAGGATTTTTTTTGTATTCGATTCTGGAGGCTTTAGGGAGCCCCTAGAGTTTATTGAGTAGGGTATTTCATGGTTGGACCTACACTTTAAGGAAATTACATTAATGGCTAAATGGAGGAGGGATTGGAGTGGGGAGAGACTTGAGGCAGGCAGACCCACCAGCAGGCCATGGAAATAGTCCATGCATGAAGTCATGAGGGCCTACACCAGAATGTTGGCATGTCTAAATAAATATGAATTCATAGACTCAAGAATCTTAGAGTTGGTGGGTCCCTCAAGGATCATTTATTCAAATGTCTACTTCCAGTATAAATTATATCTATTTTTTTGCTTAATATTATCTGTTTCCATTATTTCCTTTAGAAATAGCAGGTTTATGTAGCCCTCCTTGGGCAGTGCTGGCTGAACATGCCCCAACGGTAGGGGGCAGGGAGCGCTATCACATACATGACGGGTATTCAGTGACTATTTTTCAAATGAACAAGGTGAGGGGGTGAATGAATGACATTACCATTCTACATTTGAATATCTTAGAGGAAAGAAAATAATTCTAACAGTAGTTAGCTTTGAAAATCTGGGTGTTTCATTAACC